ACTCTTCTTTTGCTTGTCCAAGAATCCGTGGATGAATTCGAGAAGATCCACTCGGGTCCCTTCCAAACATTTGGGATGGGGCTGGCGTTCAGGGGAGTCATATTCAGCACCCAAGACAGCGACACGGGACAGCTTCTCCCAAGGTCCGGCAGATGATTGAGAAACTGTTAATGAGGTCAGAGAGCGCAAGAAAGGATAAGAGAAAGAGATACTAACACTGATCGTAGCCACTCATCGACAGATGTTGATATTAGAATGTAACACCGATTATGGGTTGGAAGGAATGGAACACGGGAAAGCGCTAGTTGGGTTCAACATTGTAGTTAGAAATTGTAACGGTGCTCACTATCTCGGAGGGGATAACGTACGCCTACAAGGTTAATTGGATGATCAAAGTTTAAGCTACAAATTCGATCTTTTGGGTCCGGAGGACGTTGCGAAATGTGTTGAGTTGTGAAACGATACTTGGGTATCAGTCTGCCCAGTAAGTGTGTTCTACTGGGCAGTAAAAACGATCGAGGACTTAATGGAGATGGAGATGTTTAAAAAGGATGCTTGTAATAGAATGGGCACTTGGTTGCAGTATTCAAAACTTGCTGGATGATGGTTAGATGCAGTCAAGTTGAAAGGACCCGCGGGCGCTTGTCTGGCTGCACTGGCACGACGAGGTTGCTGTGTAGTCTCACTGGTGGCGCCGGAGGTTCCGAACTTTCCGGTTATTAGTTATGTGTCCATATCATTAGTGTATAGAATTTTAAGTGGATCCAAATACAGGAGTACTTGTAGAGACAGTCACTGTACTTGGTCCAATCAAGACAGGCCTAGGGTGGTGATCTACACACCGAGTATATATGTTCATTGAAAAGTCGTAACGACCAGATTTGACAAGAACGGATGACCGAGTTGCTTATCTCCGCGGCGTCCAATGGCTCGATTAGGATGTTCAACACTGGACATAGCAGACTTTTGTCAACCGCCATCACTTTGTTTTGGAACGACCGCTTCTTGCGTGTGGATCACAGGATAACACAATGCGTTTGTACAAGCTCGACGCAACACTCCAAGTTGGACTACCCCTCCAGCACGAATATTAAATGTGAGTCGCACAGCTGATGGAAAGGTGCGGTCGGTGACGGGTTGTCGTGACAAAAATGTGTATGTGTGGGATGTCTATGCCCGTCCTCAAAGAAGCTGGTCTTGGACTCTTGGGAACCTAGTAATAACTATTCCTCACGTGAGTACTAGTGTGAATACTATGCCTTTTCAAATCTTACCAATCTCCCTTTTACAGGCCGCAGCTGAAAAGTCGTCAATGGACGTATGTGACACGTTTCTTTAAACATTTTCAATTGATCAAGATTGATATGCTAGAGCGATGCGACGCTACGTCCAGTTCAGAAGGTTTCGCATCGATTCCTGCCAGGCTTTTTTGATGATGCTCGACACGGTGTTCGCGTGTGTCGTCAGTGTTTTATTAGTTCTATTATGACCTCCGTTCTCTCAGTCATCTGTGAGCCGACACTGTGATGCTCTCGCACCCCCCCTCCAACTGCGCTCCTCCGCTACCTATATTCGCTCTTCCGCAACTCCCAACCCATCAGCGAAGCAACTGAACACCAGCAACGCCAACTTTTCTCGTGGTGGTCCTCATACCGTTGAAGTCGCCGCAGTGCGAGATAAACGGGTATATTTTTTTTCTGATGTATTTCCAATCTCCGTCGTTCATTGACTTATGTGCAGGCACTGTTTGTTGCTCGACGTCCCGCACATGACCATGACAAGGCGAAACGAATACAGCAGTAGCAAGGCTAAGCTCACATCGACATCGCGAACTCAGCCTTCTGATACCGCTTCGACGTCCGCGACACCTGATGTTAATACTACGCCAAATGCAGCAACGCCGACCGTGCAGTTACCACCTGTCCCCGTGTGGGCTCGTTTCGTCCTTTTTCTCTCTTGTGCATCTCCTCCGCATAGGAGTGGTCACTGATTACAGACGCAGATAAATATATATATCGTCATTAGTTCTGGTTCATGATCTCTTCCTC